TGGAATGTTATTATTACTGATGGCTTTCAAATTTATTTACCTTTCCGTATGTACCGTAAGATTTGATAAAGAGAAACCAATCGTTGAGATATTGTCAAAAGCCTTAAACTACTTCTTGACGCCAAACTCGGCCTACGGATTTTAAACACGACCTAACGCATTGAAACGCTATTGAAACGCCAATGAATTCACTTCGGCCTATCGGATGAAGATAAAAATTGATTCGGTCGGAGCGCTTCTTTTGATTTTGGAAATAATGGGTGCAAACCTTCATATCACGCGTTCTCATTGACTTCGTTCCGTAGTTTATTAACTAAAGGATCGTACCAAACGCATAATTGACTTGTTTACTCTAAAATCAAGGATTTATTCGAAGTTTTCTGCTCGATAGGCCCAAAATGGGCGATTAAGCCGAAGTAGTTCTCTAACCTACCCTTTTTACCTTTTAAATATCCTAGTCAAAACTTGTCCATGCATCTATCAAACAACATAACGAGTTCGGTGCCAAACTTAGTAATTAATCACATAATCGAGCAGTTTTGGGACTATATTTTAAGAAAATGAGGCGATAAAATAAACAAATCTAGATAGAGCTGGAATTAGGGCGTAACAGCTTTTGTAAACAATGACTTCTTTCGATGATTTATCGGAAGTCATGGCTCTCCCTGGCAAATCGACATCACCATCGAGTAGAGGAAGACTTCTCCTACCCGATGGACATGTTGGTTTGTGTAGGAGTGTCTTGAATTCCGAGAAATCAACAAGATAAGTCATTGTTTACAAAGGCTGTTACGCCCTAATTCCAGCTCTATCTAGAAATGTTTTCTTTTTCCGAAGTGCTAGAAGATAAAATCTCATAGCTCATATAGTGGTAGGAAATGTCATTTTAAACTACTCGAATGATAAAGACTGACTAAAAGTAAATTCGTACGCCCCTCGCGCGCCGCTAGCACGTCTCTAGTGTTGGGAATCGAAAATCTTTCACAGTGGTTTGTTTACACTTCTATAGAGAACAACTGGTGCAAGTTTGATCAAAGTCAAGGGGTTGGTCACTCTACACAGTGTGCCAAAATCAAACTTGGGCACCCCCAGGCGTCGTCATTGACGCTGTTTTGCACCCATGATTACAATTTTTATGATATTTAAAGTTACTGGCAACACTGAACTTTTTCTGCGCTTCAGTGTGCATGTGTCAAAATGTGTTATTGATGTTGCCGTAATATAATCAAATTATTTTCAAAACAACCGTGAATCTCCACCAAGTCTCGCCATGGATTCTCAAAATCGTTACACCCGTGACGGCAGTCGCATCCACATTTCCTCCCAGACGAAGAACAGATGACAGCGGTATCTTGACCTGACCGAGGTTTCCGGCCATGGCTAAATGAACTAGCGATGCAGCTCTCACGGCTGCGGATGCTTCCAAATCTGCTGCTGGTCCGTCATTTTTTTTTATGAATTTTAGAGGAGACGGACCAGCAGAAGGAACAGCAGCAGCAGCAACTAAAGTAGAAGCAGCCGCAGCCGCTAATTCGTGTAGCCGTGGCCGACGCTGGAAATCTAGGGCCGGTCACGACAAGCGGTGCTTGAGTTTTAATCGGAAAGTCAACCAACCAAAAACTATACCATCCGACCATTCGAACTGCTCGAATACATCCATCGCCACCGCTACTACACCACCAGCACTTCATGATGGCGTTCACCGCCAGGGCTGCGCTCGGGAACTCCACCAATCCGGAGGAGGAAATTTCCGATATCAGCGGGAACATTCGCACTTGCGACGGGTGGCAATCCTTGATGGTGAATGCAATCAGTAGCAGATCCTCGGACGGCATACGGGTGGGGTATTGAAGAAGTGGAGAATGCGATTGTTGCTGGCCTGGGAAGTGATTGTTCTTGGAGGCGTTGTAGACCTTGAAGCTAATCGAATTGTGCGGCAGGGTGTACGTTCGACTGGTTCGACAGCGATGGCGTTCCCATCTAGACCATGGCGGCACCCTCTTTGGTCTTCAGGAACTTTATTCTGACAACATGTCCATACAGGAAGGACAGATTGAACTGCTTATCGGTGTTAGCTGTGTTGTTATCGAGTCCGTAGACCATCATCACTGCGCCCTATTGCTGTGCGGGTTGAATGAAGTTGACTGGTCCGTTTCTGGTCAGCGGTGCGTCCTTCATCAGTCCGACGTGTGTTCCGGCCGGTGTTGGTTTCCAGTTCTCCGAAGGATGATACTCGGGCGGTGACAAATTCGGTGCAAATCTTCCGCTGGGTCCCAGAAGGACTGGTTGACTAATGATTGACGTTCGGCCTTCCGCCGAAGATGGATGTTTTTGAAAACATTGAAAATCAAAACAAAAACAAGAGCTGTTAAAATACCGGGTTGCCAAACAAAGCATTATTCACAAGCAAACAAAAGTCAGTGCTATTACTTATTCTACTTCATGCTGGGGGGGGATGTGCTGTCAAATCAGCCTACTGATCATCTTGTATGAAACTGGTTCCAAACGTAAACAAACGCTGTAGGTTTCTTATGGCTTGTTTACGTTTGGAACCAGTTATGCGAGGTAGGCGACGATTGTTCGTATTTGACAGCCACCTCCCCCCCTTGACTTCATGGCACTGCTGATACAGCTGCGGCACACTGAGGTACACTGAGAAAAATGTTGGCGCAAAGTAAGTGTGTAGAGTGACCACCCCTTGATCAAAGTAGTCGATCGCGTTCAGAAATAACATCATATGGGACTCGAAAGAAAAAAAATATTGTTCACAGACACCTGGAAAATCCGGAGTGGTCCGGTTCCAAGCTGGCTAAAGTGCTGAAGATGCCGAAAACAACAGTTTGTCGAGTGCTCAAAACCTACAAGGAAACCCTGAGTGTGGAAAGGAATCAGCGGACCTACGAAAAGCTGGAACCACGGATCGTCAGCTTGCGCAACAAGGTGTTGAGGTGCGTTAAAGTCAACCCCAGTCTTTCGATCCGAGATGTACAACAGAAGGTACAACGCCAACTTTCAAACGGTGCATAACATCCTTGCCAGGGAAGGATACAAGTCGTACAAAGCAAGTTAACATCCAAATCGGCACATGAAGCAGAATTCCGTGGTCAAAAAGCGTGCAAGGCTCTTGTACGACCGTGTTTTGACGAACCACAAGGGTACTTTGATCGATGACGAAACATACGTCAAACTCGATTTGAAGCAGCTTCCCGGTCCAAAGTTGTGCATCACGTTTGAACGTAGGTATCACCGGGAAGATTCAAGTTCATTTTTACCGACAAGTTCGCGAAAAAGGCAATGATTTGGCAAGCGATTTGCAGTTGTGGCCTGAAAACGGAACCATTCGTCACATCCTCGACGAAGACATCCCAAGTTTACATCAAAGAATGCCTGAAAAAGCATTCATTTGCCTCTGACTTTTTTCATCAACATAATTCCATAAAATAGTGTTTGATGGTTTTGTAGGCTTTGATATTAGCTACATCTTTTGTAAACAACTGAAATCTGTATCTCTTGTGCATGATGAATCAGAGCGATAAGAACCCAGCATTGTTTTTCAGTGAATGTAAATTGCATTCACTGAAAAACAATAACATGTTCTGCCAGCTCTATTTCATCATGCATAAGAGATACAGATTTTAGTTATTTACAAAAGTTGTAATTCATATCAAAAGCTACAACAGCTTTATACATTATTTTACGGTATTCTGTTGATGAAAAATGTTAGAGGCAAATGAATGTAAATGAATGCACGAAATGAATGTAAATGATTTTCCATCCCTGGCAACCATTAAGGGGGTATTCCCGATCTTTTTTTTCAAAAAATCAAAATTTTTTTTTTCACGTTTTTTTGTACTTTAGACTATATACTTTCATCCCCCCAAGCCGTTTTCCGATCAGCGAATTCGGTGTCCAGGCATAGCTGACTAATGGTAAGAACCCCCAAATGGTTTTAACTAAAGTCAAAACTTTAAACGCGTTTTTCTCGAAACCACATTTTTTTTATCGGGCGAAGATTTTTCTCAGAAACTATAAGAGATATTGACTTGAATCTTTGCGCATTTTGTTCCTTATTAAATTCTTTGGAGCTTCTCCCACTTTCAGCCAAAAATATTAACATTTAACATTGTTTGAAGCACCTTAAAGCTGCAAAAAAGCGGGCTAAAAATCGCCTGTTTTTTCATATGGCCGCCATTTTGTTAATTTGCAAGATTTTTTGCTGCCAACGGGAGAAGCTCCAGAGAATATTATGCAGATTATAATTTCATCACGAAATCTGTTTCAGATGAAGCCGTTCCAGAGAAAAGTCTTCGCCCGTCCAGGCGTTTGCGGCGAACAGGGGTCTGTTTGCCACCATTTTGTGACGTCAATAATGTCTTTTTTTATGTCGAAAAAAATTTATTTGTAAACTTTAATGTTCAATAAACAAGAATCCCAAAGAGTTAGGCGCATTACTATTCATTTTCCTTGAAAAAAAATTAATTGAAAAACAGGCCGAAAAAAGGCAAAAGATTGGGAATACCCCCTTAATGGACTTTTTAAACTTATTGTATAACGAATTACAGGTCTTTTTGTGCGTACCAATTTACTTTTAGTCAGTCTTTATGATCCATTCTTTGTGATAAGTGTAAGTATTCGGCAAAAGCATTAAAAAAATAAATTTTACCCCTCTTCGCTAAGCAATTTCATTCTCTTTGAAATGTTAAGATTATCGCAAAATTAATGTCATTTACTGATATAAATTAGCAACTTAGGGCTTCAATGATAACCATTATTTGCATATGCAACCTTTTGTTTTTTGTTTGATCAGTTATTAATTATTATTTGGTTATTCTGTTGGCCAGCCAGTCCATTGGTTAGTACATAAATGTAAAGAAATCATAAATTGTGACAAGGGGCATATTGCAGACAACCACCATAATATAGAATAAAATCGTTTCCATTTCAACCGGGAGCATCGTAACATCGTAATAAAATTTCCCTTCTTCTCCTCACCATTCCAGGTCGCCACATCGACGGTATTTGGCACACGGCTGTGGTCGTCTTCGGCCGGGAGTACTTTTACGGATCGCACGGCATTACGAGCTGTTCACCGGTGAGTAAATCGACCGATTTCCTTTAGGTACGTACACCTTTGCTTTACCGTGGTGGCATATTAATGGAAATGGAAAAAAAAACCGATCTACGTTGGATAAAAATATATCGCTGCCTGGCCGGCCAACCAGCCGGCCGGCCGTGTCGTTTGGGCCGTGGAATTTTGGGATAAATTTTGTGATTTGCATGTCTGCCTAACCCGGTCTCATAGAAATTGTTTACGTAGGCAAATTTATGGATCTCACTCTTGGAAATAACTTTGAAAAATTAGAAATGTTTTGTTGGTAAGGGGACATGCATAAATGATGTAGTATTTGATTGGGGGGGGTGGTCAGAAGGTGTGACCGGTGATGAATAAGGTATAGCAAAACAAGCACGAGGGGGAGGGATGTCTAAAGCTGGCCCTTAAACAAATCATCTCAATTTGTTACTCATTAGAGAGTAAAAATGAGACGAAAACAGCCAAAATTCAAACATCTGGAGCATTCCAAAAGCGTTCAATCGTCACTGTGAGACAAAATAGTTTTCCGCAACTTACCCCATGATGACGCGACGACGTGATGCTCGCTCCCACTGCGGCAAAAGCATTCCACTATTCCATCCCAATCCCGATGGAAGAGGCCGTTTTCGTTTCGGGAAATTGTACCTACGTACAAGTGAATAACAACGCCCACTTACCTGACCGTTATTTTGCTTCTTCAAGCGAGAATTAAGGGATATGTGTCTCCTCTCTAGATACAACGCGTCGGCCCCAGTGGAAATATCATCACTTTAAAAATAGAACCACGACAACAACACAAATCCTGTGCCTACTCATCTCGCCACTTGCGTCCATGGCAGCGGCAGGGCGCAGAATTGCCTACTATTTGACAGATGAAAGCACATTAACTAGGCGTTTGCTATGAACCTTTGTTCTACTAGGTGGTAGTTTACCTTTGAGCTTTGCAACGTGGATTAACCTGCCCGTTAATTATCATTAACCGAATGCACCAAAAACAGCGAGACTGCGTTAACTCACATCACGATGCATCTGTTCCAAATTATCATTTTTATTATTAACTCCGGGCGCAACGAGGAATGCGTTTTATTTTTAAATATTCCCGCTTTTGAGCCAATATGTGAATGTGCATGCATGCAGCACACCAATATGTGCATTAGCATATTAAACACGTATACAAGTGCATATTCCTAAAATGTAACCCGAAATGACGACGATTCCCTGTCTAAAATTGGAGCACCTTCGGGCCTTGTGGGGCGCATTCACCATCATCAGAAGAAGCAGTGGAATTACCTCGTCTTCGATGATGCTCTTTATAATGAATGGATAGGCCCGTGGGTGGGAGAAGGGGAACATTTTGACGCGTTTTCGCGGGCGAGAGAGATTGGTTCACGTGCCGGTCGTTAGTGGAATGGCGCAAAAATCTAAAATCAAAACAGGAAATATTTTTCTTTTCCTCAAAACGGGGTTATTTTTTGTCTTGGTGCGGTGGAAATTTTGCGCGCTGCTTGATGATGATTGGCATGTTGACCAACATTGAACCGCAGGACACCGGAGCAGACAATAGCGCTGAACTCCACTCTGCCTAGTCAAGGTACGTCCTTGGCCAAATGTTTTTTTTTAGGATTTTTGTTTTGTTTCGTTAATTGTTTTGTATTCCCCACATTTCCACCTGTTCTTGCGTCTCGCATGTTACCGCTAAGACGACATCGTCCGCAAAGCCAACAATCTCGATACCTTTGGGCAGCTTGAGCTTCCGCAAGCCGTAGTACATGCCGTTCCAGAGCGTTGGTCCAAGGATGGGCCCTTGTGGAACTCCCGGCGTAAAGCTAATCGATCTCTGTCCCATAACTGTCTCGTAGACCAGAACCCGATTATGGATGGTACACTTCGCGAAGTTGTCGGCAAACACGATCTTGAATCTTCCCGGCACATCCCCACGTCCAGTCGCGATGTACAACTTTGGACCGGGAAGCTGCTTAAAATCGAGTTTGACGTATGTTTTATCATCGATCAAAGTGCAGCCCTTGTGTTTTGTCAAAACACGGTCGTGCTTTATGCGACTTGTATCCTTCCCTGGCAAGGATGTTCTGCACCGTTTGAAAGTTGACGTTGTACCTTCTGGCCACATCTTGGATCGAAAGACTGGGGTTTGCTTTAACGCAACTGCTGCGCAACTGACAATCTCTGGTTCCAGTTTTTTCGTAGGTCCACTGATTCCTTTCCACACTCAGGGTTTCCTTTTAGGTTTTGAGCACTCGACAAACTGTTGTTTTCGGCATCTTCAGCACTTTAGCCAGTTTGGAACCGGACCACTCCGGATTTTCCAGGTGTTTGTGCACAATATTTTTTCTTCTTTCGAGTTCCAATTGTCGTTATTTCTGAACGCGATCGACTACTTTGATCAAACTTGCACCAGTTGTTCTCTATAGATGTGTAAACAAACCACTGTCAAAGATTTTCGATTTCCAACACTAGAGGCGTGCTAGCGGTGTGCGAGGGGCGTATCAATTTACTTTTAGTCAGCCTTTACTTTATAAATATTGCCATAGAATACGGACACGGTGGCATCAATGGTAGGTAAGTTAAGTTATTGCACCCAATTCAACGCTGAGATGCTCTCATTAATAGCATCGAAATGACATCTTGTGAAATTTTACGCGTGCTGTTGGATACGATGACGGGTGGTCGCTCGAAAGGATATCAACTTTCAAAACTAACGGCTTATGATGGCGATCAACTTTCAAAAAAGGCAGATGGCGGCTCTAACAGCTCAATAGAATTTGAATCACTGACGAGCTCCAGATTAAGCATTGAGAGGCAAGAATCCTTGGACATCTTCAACGAAGTCCCAAGCGAGATTCGGCAGGTTGTTATCACCCATAACGACGTCAAAATCACAAGAAAGCAGCGAATGGAGCAAAGCATTCGTTTTAGTCCTCAAACCAAACGGACGTTTTGATAGTAGACGGTCAAATGAGCACGAGTGTTGACCAGAGCAGTAGAAGAGGTATTTGTTACGGTTGGCTCTAATTGATGTTCGACGCACCGGGATCTGCGTTCCTAAAATGTCGGGTCCTTGTATCAACCTTAAAAACTCCCGAAATTCGATTCCTTGTGGCCAAGATAAAGGAACCATAGCTTTTGACTTCGATTCGCGGCTGATTCTCACCTTGTATAATACAAAAGACAGTGACCGGCTTCTTGGTATCAGTGATTTCACAACAACTTCATCCACATTCAAAGATTTCTTGGCGAGTTTCTCGATGTCTGACTGTGAAACATCGAGTGAATTTTTTGGTTAGGTAGACCCAGAACGTTGATCACGGATCGATGCCACGTAGAATTTTGGCTGATTGATCAGATGAAGCGTCTTCGTCATCACGGTTTCTTTTTGGCATGTTGGATTTAACAAACTTGAAAGTCCGAGAAAGAGGAGATAGTAGCGCTGGAGAAAGCTTGTTAAACCCTCCTTGGATCTCCTGTCTAATATCGGCAATCAAGCTGGGCTTTATCTCACACTTCATTTCTTCACTTACTCTTTGGTTAGTATCGTTGAGTTTCATCGCAGCAGCATTTGTGGATGTCAGAGCGTTCTTATAACGAGCATTACTCATAATGTCGCGGCAGCCTTTACACATTCAGTAAATACCGGATTTTTCCAACCGTGCTTCTGTTATTTTTGCACAGCTGTAGTGAAAAACAGCCTTGTAGAAACCGCAGCAAACAACTTCTACAGCGGTCATGCAAGTTTTATCGGTACAGCTGGAAATGAACCACCAGTGGAGCAGAGTCGATGTTACAATAAGAGTCCCGCCAAGAGAAAATATTGCAAACAAGCAGCACTGTTTGTGATTTATTTTTCGTCAGAGTAAACGGCAATTAGATTTTTGGCGTTAGACTTTCATTCAGAAGTGAAAATTTTCATGTCGATAACGGAGCTTCTGGGAGACAAAAACCATTATAGAACCTGAAAAATGTTCTAACAAGCGCATGGTATAACTTATAAATACCACAATGTACTAAATAAAGCGAAGAAATGGGTTTCATCTAAAATTACTGAAATATTGTCAGTAATGAATGCAATACTTGTAGTTCACTAGCTGTGGGAACAGGAATATTTATTTACTTTGCTTGTTTGGTACCCCGCTTGACAGTTCGATTGGTACTTCTGGCTTCACTCTTGGCGGGACTCTTATTATAACATTGACTCTGCAGTGGAGATGCTCTTAATGTAGTCCAAGTTTTGACAAATAGATAGCGCCACCAGCAGTGTCGATGACGGAATAGTGAGCGTTGTCAGATTGTTTCAAAGCTTATCGGTATCGAAGGTATCAAAAAATCGGTATTTATCGGTATTTACTATTTAATTAATTTTATATTTTTGCCGTTTTTGAAAGCGAAAATTTTAACGATGGTAACGACTGGGACTTTAGGAGAATTGCTTTATTTAATGGCTTTCTCAGTCTTAAAACACTCTTTTTTTTATTTAATTTTTAAAATTATCGTTGTCCTCAAGTGGTGATCAAAATTGTGATTAAGTAGTTTTTTCCATTTAATATTATTAAATGAACAAAAATATGGAAAATCAGCCACAACAACGATTTAACTATTGACAACTTTGACGAACAATATTTTCCCTTTAAAAAGGCCACAGCCCATCGCCGAAATGTCGGGCAGATTATATCGTAGTCGCTGCAGTGTTTTAAGACTGAGAAAGCCGTTAATGAAAGCGAAATTTTAGCTTTTGAACTATGATCGGAAAATTCCGGATGAAACTCCGGGGAATGTTTGAATTAGCTTCTGAACCAAGCTGCAAAAAAAATCCAGGGAAAGACGAAAGAAGCTCTCTTCGATGAAGTTCGAGGAAAGTTATAAGAAAAGTTGAAAAAACATCCGGGAAATTTCCACAACACGATTTGAAAAACTTGTGGCGATAATTTAAATAAACTATCGGAAAAAAAGTGGATGTCACATCCAAAGGAAACCAGAAAATTTCGGAA